ATCCCAAAGCACACTGGTACATATAAACATCGTTTTTACTGACCTTGGTTGTGTTTTGACTTCACAATTCAGCGTTTTCAACAGAAATAAATTTGCTCACACTTGCACATTGTTGGGGATTCCCTAGTCAAAGGTCATGTGACTAATAATCAGAACGAGGCTATGACCTGTGAGCTATTCCAATTGAGAGGTTGGAGAATTTTTTCATATTCTAGGTTCCACTTATTTCTGACGGTTTTCTAAACAATCACTGAATCTCTTTCTTGCTAAAGAATAACTATTATATCAGGAACACATAATTAATAAAACATTATGTAATCACTATGTACAGAACACGAAAATTACTCTTTTCAAAAGTAGGTCACATTTTGTCCCAAGTTTTATATGCAATATTGCTCTGAACGAAATGCAAGAAAATGTGTAAACAAACATACTTTGGTGACGTCATCAACTTGAGTGCAAAATTCGAAGTGGACGATGTGAAATCAAATTCAATGTACCCACTTCAATATGAGAAATCTCCGCTATCCTTGAGTAATATGAGCTGAAGTTACCCCAGTAGCAAGGTAAGACATTGCTCTTCGTGTGATATTCAATAGATTTTGCTAAAAATGCCTTAAACGAAGGCTATATCACTTTAATTTTTCCGAAAATAACATGGCAGAGAAGTATCAAAATATAAGAGGACACAGATATGATAGCTAAACTACAAAACAAACTAAAATATACAATAAAATATACAAAAAGTTAGGATAAATATAAATGTTTCTATTTTTACATAAACTGTTTCAATTTGGTCATTTGATTGCTTATTTTTTAAATTCAAAGTACTCACAAACATTTATAATTTTACTGTACTGTAATCCGGTTCATAATTCCATAAACAGCTTTGAATCTATTGCAACAGTATATGAAAGAATAGAAACATCCGTACAAGTCCAAATTTTTGTTTATTTCAGATAGTAGGCCTATAATGAGCAGCAGAGCTATATAGGGTATTCTAACATGATATGTGATGTCACAATGAAGAGAACAATTCATTTATATGTATGACCTGTAAAATTCAATATAGACCAAAAAATGTAATGACTATTACAATTGCATACTCACCCCCTCTGAACCAATTTATTCACAATAAAGACATGACAGATGTCAATAGATGTGACGTCAGTTTCATTATTGATATTTTTGCAAACTATTTAGCAAGGAGGAAATCCGGTAAATAGAAGGTCCAAAACATTAGAATTTTTCAGATTGAAAATAATCAAATCGGAAGAAACTTAGGTTTTATCATGTTAGAATCGCTATGCGATTTTGGTCTTTTAACAATGAACAGAATAAAATTTTCAGTCATATATTGCGCCATAAATCATAGAATCTCGGTCTTTATTCCTTAATTGTAATTGATGAAGTTTCAGCCGTGTTAATTTTTTCAAGGATAACATGGCAGAGAAGCAACAAAATATATTGTATGCTAAATTGGTAGGTAAGTGACAGTCCCATTCTTTTTTCTAAATCTTATGCCTATGGACTTCTGAGATTTTGAGATTTGTTGACTTCATTTGATTTTCAATATTCTGAAACAATTACAATCCTCACAACATTTTTGAAATTATATTCAATATAATAAATCATTAAAGGTGCAGAGGTTTTTATCATAGTAAAAGTGTCTGAAATCCTCCACGAAACAACTTTTATCTTAATGTATCTCATTTATTTTAATCAAATAGACTAGGGGAAGTCGTCCTATCATCGCACGGGTACTCAGGGAAACTACTGACGATTTCAAATATGATAACTTCAACTTACTTTGAGAATATGAGACGAAAGATCAACCTTTCCTCTAAAATCTAAGTAGTGTTTGACATTTCTCAATCTCCGAACGCTAACACTTTAAGACCCATTAGACTCGCATGTGCGGTGGTCCTAATTATCGCACAGTCGTCCTAATTATCGCACAGTTATGTTTCAGATGTCATTTCACGATACTATATACATTTCTCTGTTTATAACAGATACATACATATGCTGTAATCATTTTTCTATCAGTTTTAGTGTTAAATATCAACAAAATATACATTATACACATACTTTTCTGTCTTTATTTGGAGGGGGTCAAAATTTGTCAGACGAATTTCACTTCTTGCGCAAAAGCATTTATGACAATGGCGGAAGTAAACAATTCTTAAAAAAATGAAGAGATAGGGGAAGTCGTCCTATCATCGCACGGGTACTCAGGAAACTACTGACGATTTCAAATATGATAACTTCAACTTACTTTGAGAATATGAGACGAAAGATCAACCTTTCCTCTAAAATCTAAGTAGTGTTTGACATTTCTCAATCTCCGAACGCTAACACTTTAAGACCCCTTAGACTCGCATGTGCGGTGGTCCTAATTATCGCACAGTTGTCCTAATTATCGCACAGTTATGTTTCAGATGTCATTTCACGATACTGTATACATTTCTCTGTTTATAACAGATACATGCATATGCTGTAATCATTTTTCTATCAGTTTTAGTGTAAAATATCAACAAAATATACATTATACACGTACTTTTCTGTCTTTATTTGGAGGGGGTAAAAATTTGTCAGACGAATTTCACTTCTTGCGCAAAAGCATTTATGACAATGGCGGAAGTAAACAATTCTTAAAAAATGAAGAGATATTTCTAAATATATGAATAAATCATGAAGATTGGGAGTAATGGTGTTGAACTGTTTTTCGTATCACTGGTTTAAAAAATGGTGGGTGCATATTTTAGCTATTTAGGACAATCGTGCGATAATTAGGCTAATAATGCTAAAAGCACAGCCACTTACACTGTATTATTGTATGTATTCTTTGTACAAATGATTAATTTAATAAAAAAAATATATATTTATAGTAAAAGTCGTCGAATGTGGCTATATTACTCAAGTTAGACTGAGTCGAAAAAACAACATTCAAAATGGCCACCTTTTCAATTTTTCAAATTTATTTTGCCAATTTTCGAAGGCTTTTCATCATAGGAGACAGGTTACCTGAAAAGGAAGATAGATATCATTATCAAGGACTGAAACTGAGGCAAGTCTACCCTGGCTGAAATCAGCTCTGAAATAACAATTACTGCATGTCAAGCCGTCATTCAATGCTGATTTTGTAGAAAACAGATCTGTCCATCCTTCTACATGTGAGTTTTTCCCATAAAGATGCTTGATTAAGTAGAAATTCATCAAATTATACCCCTAGAATATCAAAGTTCAACTGTACATCAATCGCGTGAGGAAAAAAAACAAATCCATTCTTCACCTTCTGTTCACAAACCCTTCTTCTTCTTCTTGGAAAAGTTGTCCCTCATTTGACTAACAGCAAATGTGTATGTTTATGCAGCAATATATGTTAGTTTAGAAAATGATTAATTACAATCTTACCTGTACTTCACAGAAACATCCTAAGTATGAAAATATTTCACTAAAAATACATGCTTCCATTTTGTCACATGTTCATAATAATTTACATATTGACCATGTGATGTTGACAGGGAGTGTAAACGCACCTAGCGTACAGGAAATATGTTATGATATTTATTAAGAATTAGGTATGGTAATCATTATTACTTATTGTATTAAGCCCCCAACCCACTTCACAAAGTTCATGAAGTACCAAGGAAAGACCAAATATTAAATAAATTAGAAAAATTTGAATTTCCCAAAAAATCAAGTGGGCGATAATAGAGTCTCTGAAACATTAAATTTTTCCTTCATTAACTTATTACATACATTATTTTTAGATAATATTAGTTTGATATGGTGTGGAAAGCACACAATGATAGATAATTATCGGGAGTGCATTGAAAATTACAAAATATGTCACTTTTGCCATGTTTCAGAGGCTCTATTATCGCCCACTTGATTTTTTGGGAAATTCAAATTTTTCTAATTTATTTAATATTTGGTCTTTCCTTGGTACTTCATGAACTTTGTGAAGTAGGTTGGGGGCTTAATACAATAAGTAATAATGATTACCATACCTAATTTCTTAATAAATATCATAACATATTTCCTGTACGCTAGATGCGTTTACACTCCCTGTCAACATCACATGGTCAATATGTAAATTATTATGAACATGTGACAAAATGGAAGCATGTATTTTTAGTGAAATATTTTCATACTTAGGATGTTTCTGTGAAGTACAGGTAAGATTGTAATTAATCATTTTCTAAACTAACATATATTGCTGCATAAACATACACATTTGCTGTTAGTCAAATGAGGGACAACTTTTCCAAGAAGAAGAAGAAGGGTTTGTGAACAGAAGGTGAAGAATGGATTTGTTTTTTTTCCTCACGCGATTGATGTACAGTTGAACTTTGATATTCTAGGGGTATAATTTGATGAATTTCTACTTAATCAAGCATCTTTATGGGAAAAACTCACATGTAGAAGGATGGACAGATCTGTTTTCTACAAAATCAGCATTGAATGACGGCTTGACATGCAGTTATTGTTATTTCAGAGCTGATTTCAGCCAGGGTAGACTTGCCTCAGTTTCAGTCCTTGATAATGATATCTATCTTCCTTTTCAGGTAACCTGTCTCCTATGCTTTTCATAAGGCACAATTAATTACCAGTTTATTTCAAATTTTCTAATAAATCCTTTGAACTTATTTTATGCAAAACTAGAAGGATTTTCTAGGTTTGCATTATAAACGAGTAAACTTAGGCTTCCAAATTTAGATGTCTGATGGCCTCTAGGCCTGAATCCCTGTCGCCATTTTTGCTGATCCAGATTCAGATTTTGTAGCCTCCTCTGCGATACCATTCAAATGGATTATGCTTTATTAACACAATATATACTAGCTGAGGTATTCATACATTAATTGCAAGATGTAAATATACAAACCTTGTCGTAAGACTGTTTGAAAACGTCATTTTGCTGCACGTTGACGTTCCGTTCCGCCAAATAACTGGCAGCCATGTTTCTCTTGTTCGGATTCCCACCGAATGATTTGATTGGTCGAAACATTCCGATCTGAAGGTCAGACTGGTGGTCAAAGTTCACTTACAAAAATAAACATGGTGCTCAGAGTGTACTATGATTTGATGTCCCAACCTTGTCGGGCAATTGTGATGTTTCTGAAGTTGAATCACATTCCATATGAAGACAAAATAGTTGCACTAAGGAAAGGTAATATGATTACAATTTTCAAATGTATATAATCATTTAATTTAGGAAGCCTATGTAGTAATCTATATGCCATTTCATTCAGCCCCCCCCCCTTTAGGCCTACATATTGACCACAGGCCTAATGTATGCACTAGCGGATCTGGGGGGGACTGGGCCCTCCCAAAAAAAAAATTGGACCCTTTAAAGATTTGGGGCATAAAAACTGGGCCTTTTTGTCATTACAAGGCCTTTAGGCCTTATTTTTTAATTTTGGGCCAAATTTTGTAGAAAATGGCCTCTAAATTTCAAAATTTGGGCCCACTTTTAGATTTTAGGGGCCCAAATTTTTTTTTCGCGTAAGCGAGGATGTTTTTTCTCTGGCCTCAAATGTGCCCCCCCCCTTGTTGGTTCCCAGATCTGCCCCTGGTATGGATCACAGAGACATAATCCCTGTGCGTTAACTAAGTGGTCTGTGCACAGTCAGAACACGGGAGTGGGAAGTTCTCCATGCTTAATGCACATGCTATCTATTGCAAGACTTATGCCCGGCACTTACTGAACACAGCTGGCTCAAAAGCCTTGAACATTATCACGGTCATGACAGGCCATACAATATAAAATAGCATTGTCACGGTTATATCAGGCTATCACGTTAAAACTACCACGGTCATGGCAGGATCCTTGCGAAACTTAAAAACAGTTAATAACATGTTGATGGTTGTAGTTGTGCCAGGCATAAGTCTTGCAACAGATAGGGTTTTGCTTAATACTGTTCTATACATGTCCTTAGTATACTAGGGGACTTTGCACAATCCATGCATTGATTGTTCTATCATGGTAAAGATATTCGTAGTTCCTTGTATGTTGCAACTAGTGAGGTAATTAAATAAAATGATGCTTTAACATTGTCATTAAATCTTTTTTCCAGGTGAACATTTTGAGGAGCCATTTACAAAGCTGAACCCATTCCAGAGAGTGCCTGTTATAGATGATGATGGCTTTGTTTTGACTGAGAGGTAAATACAGTTAAACTGTCTATGTGGAACACTTTTGGTACTTCTAAAAAGTGTCCCACTTGGGAGGTGTTTCAATCATAGAGGTTCATTTAACGTTAAGTCAGTTTGTTGGGATTGTGAAAAGTGTTCCACTAACAGAGGTTCAACTTCTACAGCTGTTCGACTTTACGGGTTTCACTTGTATTTCATTTATGGCTTTCTTTTATGAACACCCTACCCCAATAACTCAGATACAAGTGGACATATTTTCTTTTGACTGTTTCCTTTAAATATATATATGTCATCACCAAGAGGTGACCAATTTGATTATGTCTGTACCTAATGGTCACGCCAGGTGGTGACATTTTTTTATGTTAATGTTATTTTAGTGTTTCCATTTTGTCCAATGTTCAGCATCAGTATATTATGTCTGAAAACTTTGGTTACACCTTTTTAACTGCAACCAGGTGGTGACATTTTGTCATGTTGTAAATCCCATATTTCAGTGCGTCCATCTTAAAGTACCTATGTAGGAAATATAAACTTGCTGACCACTGGTATCCCTGAGAGCTAAAGAAGTAACACATTATGTAACACATTATTACAGACAGATGGTGACATTTTGTCATGTTAATACTATGTTATTCCAGTGTGTCTATCTTAAAGTACCTATGTAGGAAATATAAACTTGCCGACCACTGGTATCCCCAAGAGCTAAAGAAACAAGCTAGATGTGATGAATACTTAAACTGGCAGCACTGGAATACAAGAATGAATGCAGCCATGGTGTTCAGAACTATTGTAAGTGCCTTTAATTCATTGAAAAGGGTTTTATGTTAAAGTAGTGCTCTATTTTTCTCAAGTGGGTGCAAGATAAGCATTATTACATATACTCAACTTCAATATGCTTCTGATATGTTGAGTTTGAGACAAGTTTTTAATCTCTTGACAACCAATGATTAAAGTTAGATTGAAGTTGAGATAAACCTCGAAGCAAGTTTTAAATCAGAGTTTGAGATGAGCCTTTAACTTACTATTAAAAAGGCGGATACAGACAGATATGAGCCACATCAAAAACACATACAACATGTAGTATGTATTGGTATGTAGAATGTGCAGTATAACCTTCTCAGTTTAAAAATGGATAATCAAATATCATACTTCTCACCTTGGAAACACATTATGTTTCCTCTTTCAAAGGCTGACTGATCTGAAAGAACATTCTGTTGTTTTCTGAATCCTTACTAAGTATGGCATCAACAGTACAATATTAAAATGTTATAAAATGCAACATTCACTTTCACCCTTCGTTTTCTCCAGGCTATAGACACTAGGATGACGGGTAAGCCTGTAGACACAGAGAAACTAAAGATGCATCGCCACCAACTTGAAACTACGCTAGATTTTCTTGAAAATGTGTACTTAAAAAGAGGGCGCTTTCTTACAGGAGATGAAATAAGCATTGCAGATATCCTTGGAGTGTGTGAGTTGATGCAGCCATATATTATCGGCCAAGATGTTCGGGATAATCGACCACGTCTGAAACAGTGGATGAATGGAACCATAGAGAGGCTCCAGCCTCATTTTGATGATACGCACAAAGTGATAATGAAAGCAAGAGAAAAATATCTAAAGAGCCAAGCAAAATTGTAAACATGGATGGCATACCATGGACACCGATGTCATGGTGTGGGTATTAATAGGAAAACGGGTTTCCATCAGCCTTCCCTAGGGAGGCTTTGAGACTAATTCCAATTGTTTCCAATGTACAGGGTGATCCAAAAAAGGTAACCAAACAAATGTTAATAATTCAGTCAACCAAAGAGGGTTTAAAATCATATTTGTCAAAATCAAATCTTGTTTAATTTTCTTTCAATTCAATTAAGGTCCATTGGTCTGTCCCCACTGGTCACAATTTTATGGCCATTTTGCAAATCATGCTGGCGTCAAGTCTTGAGGCAAACCTGAACATATCAGGCAGAACTGTTGAGCTACATGGACACAGACTACAAAACTACATGAGCACAGACATTTTGTGTAATAGCACACATCTTCCTTCTCAACTCTTGTTTCAATGTTTTTAAAAAGGTTTGTCTTGGGGGTGTTTCATGTCTAGTAAGTGAGGCCTTTTTCGTCATTTGGAGCATGTTTTGTAAATGGCCATAAAATCGTGACCACTTGGGATGGACTAATTAAACTTAGCAGAATGAAAGATCATTAAGCAAGGTTAATTGTACCAATAAGACCAATGCTGAATGTCTGAGTTATTAACATGCATTTATTTGGGTTACCTTTTTTGGCTCACCCTGTAGTCTGTACACATGTAAGACAGTTGATACACTTGCTCAATTATTGCAGTACAGTATTTAAATGTAATCATTAAACCAATTATTAAACAGCATATATATTCATTTGATTGGCTGAAATTTCATTGTTGAGATACAATAGGCGCTAAGATATTTTTCACTCACAGTTCTTGGAGTCCATGCTAAGAGTATGACAAGAGCAATTTTCCAAAATATTGGCAAGTTATAAATTATGCTCCAAGTTTTGAATATTTGAGATGGAATAATCTGTTGAATCTTGGTTATCTGACAAAAAATTAGAAAAGTGAATTTCTCTTTCATTTTTAATAACATTTGGACATTTTGCATCTTTTTCTAAAACCTTCATATTTGATTAGATTTCTCTTTTTCAAACAATAAAGTTAGGATTGAACAAGGAATGCTTGTATTTTTGGAGATTGCATTGACATTATCTTTCTTTACTGCCACCTTAACAGCATCCTCATTAACTACATGTTATCGAACCTCTTCTAGTTAATACATGGAGAGGCAGTGACTCAATCCAAATCTAACAGGTTAGACTTAATAAATGGATTTAGACTTACAGTAGTTACACAACCAAGCACAAATGTACTTTTTATGAACAAGGTTGATAACTTTTTGTTTATATTAATTTATTTTAATGGGTTTTATTATTTTTTTTACAAATATCCGAATATATGTATAGTCTTGTACAATCAAAGTCAATACAGAATCAGAATATAGAAATATAGAAATATTTTAGCAACAATTATTTGTTTCTGCGTTTTACTCTTACTCCTTAGTACTCCTTCTCTTCTATATACATAACCAATATTATACAAATCGGAGTACAAATATTTCATACTATTGAGGTGAATACCTGCTCATCTTTCAATGATCCTAGCAAACTGTATTCCCCGAAGCCCGAAGGGATTCAGCAATCAGCTCGTTATCAGAAACTCATTCGGATTCTGCAGTCCCCACGAATCTGGATTTTGATACTGTGATATACGTTCCAGGGTATAAACATTTGAATCTAAAGTAAAGTATTTTGGGGGAATATCAACCAAAACAACGAAAAATACATGTGGTACGTTTTTAGTTATTGCATTGAATGTGTTTTAGATAGTGTTTAAGGGAAGAACCAAAAACCCATGTTTCCAACCGTATGCGTTGAATATCTAATAATTCATATATGGCTAATCCCTCCCCAGTAATTATGAGTAACATAGATTAGTCCCTGATCTGGACCCTCTGAAAAAAGTTTTGTTGTCCGGTACTTTCCCACATAAAATGATTGTACCGTTTGAAAGAACAGACTTCCCTCTTAAAGAAAACACCTCTTCTATTGATGTAAACAGGGGCAAAAGGCACCAAAACGGGGGTTGGACAAGGTGGCATTATGAAGTCTCACTTTCTTGTCATCACGATTCCAGGTAAACCATCAGACGGATTTACTTCAAGTTTTCACAAATGTTACATGGTAAGAAGTTCTAGAGCTGATTAACTTTGCGGCGGCCATCTTGCATTCTGGCGGCCATCTTGGAATTATTTTCAGATAAATATTGTCATCGCGATTCCACAAAAACCACATAACAGATGTACTTCAAATGTTCACACATGTTACATGGTAAAAAGTCCTAGACCTCATTATTTTTTCGGTGGCCATCTTGCATTCTGGCAGCCATCTTGGAAGTTTTAAGATAAATCTTGTCATCACGATTTCAGGAAATCCAAACGGATTTACTTCAAATTTCCACACATGTTACACGGTAAGAAAATATAGAGGTGAATAACTTTTTGGCAGCCATCTTGCATTCTGGCAGCCATCTTGGAAATTTTGGGATAAATCTTGTCATCTTGATTCCAGGAAAACAACCCAACAGATCAACTTCAAATTTTCACACATTTTACATGGTATGAAGTTCTAAAGCTGATTAACTTTTCAGTGGCCATCTTGCATTCTGGCGGCCATTTTGGAATGTTTATAGATAAATCTTGTAATCAAGATTCCAGAAAAACCACTTCACAGTTTTACTTCGAATTTTCACACATGTTACATGGTATGAACTTCTAGAGCTGACTAACTTTTCGGTGGCCATGTTGCATTCCGTCGGCCATCTTGGAAGTTTTAAGAGAAATCTTGTCATCACGATTCCATGAAAACTACGTAACAGTTTTACTTCAAATTTTCACACATGTTACATGGTAAGAAGTTATAGAGCTGATTAACTTTCCGATAGCCATCTTGCATTCTGGCAGCCATCTTGGAAGTTTGTAGATAAATATAAAATACAGTCAAAGCATTTACCACCAACAAAGGATGCTCTCATTCTCCATATAAATAGAGCCAACTATCAGGCCTATATTTGGCGAAATGCAGGCAAACCAATGATTGATTATCAATCCCCCACATTACATGGTTGGACATTCAAAGGGAATAAACTACAAATTAAGTGGATGGAAAACAGTCCTGCCCCACAAGAAATAATGGAGCTTGTTGCTTGTAGTTGTAAAGGAGCGTGTGACTCAATGAGATGTAGTTGTAAGAAACAGGATCTCGTTTGTGGAAGTTCATGTAAGTGCCGCAAAGGTGTTTGTGAGAACTGTCCAACCCATCAGCACGATGATGTTGATGAGAGCGACAATGAATTTGAACCAGTTGATGACATCATTACACCAAACGTTGAAGATCAGGAAGAAAATTAATTACCTGAAAATCTCTTACCTGACAACTGGATGAACCAACTTGTCAAAGTCGATGCCATAATATGAATTATCTCACCCTGTATATACACTGGTGATCCGCTCGATTACAGGTACGATTTGTCCTTATTCCTTATTTCATGTGTTGTAGGCAGAATCCTTTCGACGTTTTTCTCACAAACGTGAATCAGTATCATATGTCTTAGAAAATGAACATGTTTGCGAAAAATAGCTCAGAAGACGACAGAAACGTGGATTTAATTCCATACTTAAGTTACATAAAGGTTTGGGTTAAAAGTGCAGATCTGAACTGTTTTTTTCGAAATACCGTTTATGTAACTTAAGTGAGGAATTAAATGTACGATTATGTTGTCTTCTGAACTATTTGTTTGCAAATATGCACATTTTCTTAAACATATGATACTGATACACGTTTGTGAGAAAAAATGTCGTGGGAATTCTGCCTACAAAGTGTGAAAGGAAAAAGGAAAAATCATACCTTCGATGTTCCCACATTTTGTTACCTAAACAAACCGTTTAGGTAACCAGCATAATCGAGTGGATCACTATAATATACTTTAGTAGTCTTTAATAATGTTAGGGAGGATGAGTTGTAAGGCATACTATGTCATGTTAGATCATGATCTATACTATTTTTATTACAATTTACCAGTTACACTTTCTCCATGCTAGGTTCAGTTATAACTTTTGTTCCGTTTCCTATGGCATCCGTGCTTTATACATTTACATTCACAATGGTCCCTTCCTGGTATATTTTTTTAGGTTTTATGACTGTTAAATTCTATAGTCTTGTTAAGACCACTTTATAAACAGGTTTATTATTACTTTTATGACTGTTATATTATATAGTCTAGTTAACACCACTTTATAAACAGGTTTATTATTACTGTTGTAATTAACACAACGAAAAAAAATATAATTAATTTATTTGATTTTATATAACATGAAATTATTTTTTCTTTTCGATAAAACATTGCTTATTATAAATATATTGAGTTGAAAACTTAGAGTAAACAATCAGTTCTTCTCTCACAAAGTTTATTTTGGTTCAGTAGATTTTTCTATACATTATTTTTATGTGACCACCACTAGTGATTGGGTGACATATTGTAATAGCTTCGAACGTTTATCTTGACACTGTTCAGTAGTTAATGTCTTAACAAGGTGTGGTGACATATTGCATGTTTCTGCATCGTCACTACTATTGAAAGCTTATGTTGATATTGTAGCAGTGTTTTCAAGTTCTTTTTGTTGGTACAATTAGTTTCCAAACCCTATACTTATATCGATCTGACACACAGTTTTAGTGCAGGTTTAAGTGATTTTTGTTGATTATTAAACGCAAAGAGCACATGTGTCTCGAACTCGCAACATTGTGGATACAGAGCCCATTCACATAGTTTGACATGCTGGTGCTCTGAACCAGCTCGTTAGTACTATAGTATCTTACAACTATTTTGATCTTATGAGTATTGGATATCATTATTTTCAATTTTTCTTCAACATGTATTTTAATGACTTCAGTATGAATGGAATGTCCCTCGGAGTTGTGGTCGTTGATGAGGAATTGGTCATTGAACGGTGTGGAATGTGGATGCTGTTTATTCCCATATTAGATTATTGTCTTGGGATATTCAGGCTTGATTTTTGTTTGCCAGTTTTACACTTTACAGTTTGCTTTTCCCACTAGGTTGCTTTACACTTTTTTCCTTTCTCATTTGTCATTTTTGTTTATATTTAGTAAGGATATGATACGCAGGTCTCTCCTTCTGTGTGATCACCTGTCCAGAAGATAATTCA